TTATCTAAAAAACATTATAGACTATAAAAAACAGTATAGACAGATTTTTCTCTGTAATAATTTTAATAGAGCGATGTTTCTAGTTTCTATACAGAAAGAGATTCATATTTTTTAAAAATACATTTTAGTTTAAATAATTATTTAAATTAGAACATATTTAAGTTAGAATTTGTTTTATGCATATTGATATATATTATATATTTTAGTCTAATTTTAATAACATAATTTAATATCCCCAATATATCTTTGTTTATTTTAAATCTGATATTTAATATTTATTGAAAATAAATATTACATGAAATCTTTACTAACTATATTATACTATATTATATATACTATATTATATATACTATATTATAACTATATATTTTATTTTTTTACAGGGTTGTTTTGGAGAATACATTTGATTGATTTATACTCTAACCTGATCTCTTTTGTATTGGTTACATTGGCGAGCACATACGCCCTTGCCTTAGCATATAAAAACACAAAATTCATTCTTAAACATAAGGTATGTGCTACATGAATTTAGGAGATATTTGTTTACTAAAACACAAAAGTGTTTATTAAAATAAATAAAGTTTTTTTTTACAACTTTAAGAAATTTACCTTTTGATTTTTATTTCAAAAGAGTCCATATTGATCACAAAGAAAAAGTGACTTTGATAAAATCGGCTGAAACCGTAATATTTTGTAGATTATGAGATGCTAATTAAAAATTTTCTTAGGCAAAACCATAAAAAGTGAATTTGATGACAGATTTTGCTATAGCATCATTTGATTAGTGCAGAGTCCTTTGTTGAGAATTTGAATAAGCCTAAGACTTAGGAGATGATGTACTATATAAGAATGATGAGAATATAATATAATTTTGTATATGCGTATGTTATATAGATCGCAGTAAAAAGGGAAGATGCTGTAACTAAAGAAATAAGCCGTAAACTCGCAGAAGACAAGAAGATGAGCAAGAAAGAAAAGGATGAAAGGTAATTTTAATTTTTTTCGAAACAAATGACTGATCAATTATGCATCGAATGGTGTATATTTCCTAAGTAATCATTGATTACTTAGGAAACAATTAATCATAATATAATGATTATAATAAAAAATATATCGTATCTGCAAAATATATTAATTTATATGTATTATATATATATTAATTTATATGTATTATATATTATATTTAAATATCTAGGATCTTGTGGAAGAAGAATGAAGTGGCAGATTATGAAGCAACAACATTCTCAATTTTCTACAATAATGCCCTTTTCCTGGCATTCGTCATCGTATCTTCGTTTTACATTTTAAAAACATTTACACCTGCAGTAAATTATATACTTTCTGTAGGCGTTACTAGCGCATTCCTAGCATTATTTTCAACAGGATCTCAATAATATATGCTATGAACTCATGTATTCTGTTAATTTCATAAGAAATCTCCATCAGTTCGATTTACCTTTTGATATGGAACAATTATGGATAATAAAAAATTCTATTTATAATGAAATCATCTGCTATAAATTATTTGCTATTTCCGGACAACATGGTTAACATTTCTAAGTTATAAGCAATTAAAAAATTGTTCTTATTAAATAGCAAATAGAACTATACATTTGTTAACATTTTATCTTTATAAGGCTTTGACCAAACTCTAATTAAATAGTGATAATTCAATGAAATTACAGTAAAATTTCTAAATATAATATGTTGTTTCTAATTTAATCTTCTCAAAAAATATGTCAAAAATTAATGATTCTATTCATTTAACTATAGATATTATCTGATAAGCTAATCGCCGATTAATCAGAATTTGATGTACATTATCTTGAGCAATATTAATTTGTAATCTTATGCAATGTATATAGAAAATTATAATATAATAGATATAAATTACATTATCAATAATACAATTATAATTTTATTATTATTTTATTATAATTATTATTGTAAACAATTATAATGTATGCGTGTGCGCGCGCGCGCGCGTGTATAACTGCATATGTATAACTGCGTGTATATCGTTATTATGACAGTTATCTTATAACCATTATTGTGTAAAATACCCGATTTATCTCTTAAAAAAATGTTATTAAAAAAAAATGAAGTAGCTATTTACCAATTAATATAAAGTTTCGAAAGATGTATAAATTATTATATCATATTAAAGGATTATTTAAGTGAAATCGAGTGTTGTACCACTTGGGAAATCGTTGGAAATATGGAAAAAATTATGATTAATAACAAATTTAATACTATTATCTAATATTATTATTGATAAAAAGTTATTAAGTAAGAAAGCAACAAGAATTGTATTATTATTTAAATATGTAACTTTGAGATTTTCAAGTGATGACAGAGAGTTCGCGATTTATAATAATCATTTCGTTTCTTGGATTTGAATAACAAACTACTTCAAGTAATATATATTTAAATAACAATATAGTTATTGTTCTTAATTTCTTTTGATATCTTAATAACCTTTTATCAATAAATTCAATTGTTTTTTAATAAATATAATTATTGTCTAAATGTGATTATTGTCTTTGATTATGATTTCTCTTAATTTTTTCTTAAGATAAGCAATACAGTACTTAATTCCATTTTAGTCTTTTAATATAATATATTGTATAATTTATACATTTCAAAATTTTATGTTAGCTGAAAAACAGCTAAAACTTAATATTCTTTCATAAAAATGTTTTAAGAAATAGCAAATTGATATTTCACATAGTAGTGGCTACAAATCATTAACGATAATAACTAAAAATATTATAAATTAAGTATTATAAATTATATTTACAAATAGACATTTTATTAAATATGTTTTAAAAAAAGATGTAAGCTTAAATTTTTCTATTAATTTTTAATAATATATTCATGATATCATTAATATTAT